TGCAGTAAAGACGGGTCAAGACAAGAAGGCTGATCTTTTGCGCTGTGAGGTAGCGCGGTGTGGCCATGTTTGTGTGGTGGGTTGATGCTCGTAGCAGAACACAGCGCTGGGCGTTGACGGTGTCAGCGTTGGCGATTATCGCCAACAGAAAAACCCTTGTCGTGCGACTTCGCGCAATATGTGCATTGTATCCAGTTAGGCGATTGCTGACTATCTGGCAAGGCTGCGACGTCCAGGACGCGGTGTTTGCTGGAGGTCGTGGGAGGGAATGAACAACCGAGGCGGCGCGTAGCGCGTAGCGCGTACAACCTTGGAATACTTGTCGCGAAGTCATGCGCCCAAAAGACTGCGCCAATCACCACCCGATTTGTGTCTAGGTTACCAAGCCATCAATCTGCCGGCGATCTGGCGGTACAGACTTCATTTCACAACTTGAAACAAGATTTCGTAGTTTGGAATGGATGTGAATATCTACATCTATGTAGCTGTCTCCCGCGACGCATCGCCAAATCCAGAGTCTTTCCTTGCGACCTTCTTGAGATCGTTTGCACTTGACTGCAAACGCGGCACAGGAGCGCTGTTCAGAAATTCGTCCTCGTTTGTCGCATTTGTTGCCCAAATCTTACTAACGCTCAGATCGTAGGGCCCTGGTATGCGGTCTATCAAGGATATGCCCACCGTCCTCACCTTCTGCGTCAACATTTCCCTCTGTGGTTCTACGACCTGCCCATGGTTTGTCCGCACGAACTCGTTCCACCTGATTAGGATGGTCTCCCACTCGCCCGGTGTCTTGGAGTGCAGCAGGTGCTGGTGGATGTCTGTAGGAACAATCGACTCGGTCTGCACGTTGACAAAGTACTTGCGACCGTCCGACTTGAACTGGATTGCGAGGAAGTTGTACATGCTCACGTCCCACAGGGACTTGCCGAAGATGGTGGAGCCTCGATCAAGTGTCCTCCATCCGGCATAGCCTGTCCTTTGAATGTGTGGCTGGTTGTGTGGCAGTTGTGTGGATATGGTGCCATGGAAGCGGACGTGGGGGGGTTCGGTCGGGGTGGCAGGACGGTGGTCGAAGTTGACGGTGGAGAAGCCGCCGATGTCTTTGTCGCTCATGCGCTTGCATCGGTCCAGATCTTCAGCGTGGTCGAAGTGCATAAGCGGAAAGGGCTTGGACGGGGAGCGCAGGCCCTCGAGCTTGAGTGCTGCGCGTGTCAGTGGCGGCGCATGCACACAGGCAACGGCAGAGCTCACCGAAGTTGGAGAGGCGCTTGAACTCGTCCAGGCTCCGCTTGACGAAGCCAGGCGCGAGGCACGCCGATGTTGGTCGCATGGCTGCGTGAGTTGTGTGCACTTGCAGTCCATGGATGTGAATGACGCCGCGGTACTCTCGCCAGCCGCTAGCCGCTTTGGATGACCATTCCAAAAATCTGGGGACCGCTGCATGTGCAAACACATGCCGCCACCCTTCACTGCCCGGCGCGACGACTTCCCCTCATGACACCGTAGCAGCCGACGCCCCGAACCCCCGACCCTTGACTTTGCGTGCGCCTTCCTCAACCCACGCCGCCACCAATCGCCACGCGCCTTCTCTGCCTCGATGCCACTGCAAGAAGCCTCCAGACCTCGAGGCATTCGAGACGACACAACCCAGCCGCTGCAACCACTGCCCCCTTCGTCGCGAGAGCTGGGAGAAGTCACCCCTCCGAAACGGCCAGATGGGACACCGGTAGCCAAGCAAGATGTCAAGTCTGGAAAGTCGTGGGCGCATTTTGTCGCCGGCGGGTAAGACTACAGTTCACTCTGGACCACACCTTGAGGACTGACGTTGTCACAGCCTGGGCGGCATGGCCTCAGCAACCTTGACAGCCCCGCTCGATGTCCTCAAGACTCGGCTGCAATCCACCTTCTACCAGCAGCATCTTGCCGCAATGCGCACCGCCCGCGGCCTGCCCCCAATCGAGACCATGTCCTTCGGCCGCAGCTCTCTATTGCACATCCGAGAAACTGGAGAGATACTATGGCAGGTCCCAAAGGCAGAGGGGTGGCGAGCACTCTTCAAAGGACTGGGACCAAATCTCATCGGAGTAGTTCCCGCACGCGCAATCAACTTCTTTGCATACGGAAACGGCAAGCGTCTGATCAGCACACATTTCAACAATGGTCAAGAGGCAGCATGGGTACATCTGTGTAGTGCAGCAGCAGCTGGAATCGTGACTGGAACCGCTACGAATCCCATCTGGCTGGTCAAGACACGACTGCAACTGGACAAAAACACACACTCGAATGGCCGTGGGCGGCAATACAAGAACGCATTCGACTGCACCATGCAGACCATACGGAAGGAGGGTGTCCGGGGCTTATACCGCGGATTGACTGCAAGCTACCTGGGTGTCACCGAGAGCACATTACAATGGATGTTATACGAGCAAATGAAGCTGTCATTGGCACGGAGAGAAGAGCGCGTCATTGCTAGTGGCAGACCGCCAACTGTGTGGGACCAGACTGTAGCATGGACTGGCAAGCTGACTGCCGCTGGATCTGCCAAATTTGTCGCAGCGCTTATCACATATCCCCATGAGGTTGTGCGAACGCGCCTGCGGCAAGCACCAATGGAGGATGGCCGACAGAAGTATACTGGCCTCGTTCAGTGTTTTCGACTGATATGGAAGGAAGAGGGCATGGCAGCACTCTACGGCGGTCTGGTTCCTCACATGTTCCGTGTGGTACCTAGTGCCGCCATCATGTTTGGAACCTATGAAGGTGTGCTCAAATTCCTCGGAGAGAGCAGTAACATGTGATTGCCAACGCCGGTATAGAGGTATGAACATGTATAGAACGGATGCATACAAACGGCGTTATGAAAAGTTGGGATTTTGCGACGCATACACGGCGTCTTGTATCACCACTCTGCTCCTGCCGAGCATGTACTTGTATAATGTTAGAAAGGTGGAAGAATATATGACGACATGAGATTTGCGCATACAGACCGGAAGCCGGATTCCACCTGACCAGGTGTACTTCAACAATACTCCTGACCAGAAAAGCAACCGGTACTCTCTGCATTGGTCCTTGCGATTTGTAACTTGCTTGTGAGCGTGCAAGTTCAGCAGGGCACAGTGCGACCAATCGTACATGTACATCACTAGCGCGAACTTCCCGCCCGAACATTGATCGACTTTGACATATTAAGCATCCTCATCGCGAACGCCCAACGCTCGCCCCGAGCATAAGCCACCCGCCCACAATGTCCTCGCAAATACCACTCCGGAGCATACGGATACCGGCGCTGCAACGACAATGTCTCTTCCTCCGCCACCAAACCCTCCTGCGCGCCGCCCAACCCACCATAACCCAACCATCCTCCCACCGCGCCCTCTCCAGCACCCCGTCCCGCCCAGCAAAGCACAGGCGACTCGGACATGATAAAGCGCAATCCATAGCTGCAGCCCGATCACAGATTTCGCCCTCACCAAGTGTCAATTTTGAGCAAGCGCAAACCAATACAGATGCCATGGCGGAGGACATTGGTTTGCTGCAAAATACTATCGTGAGGGCGCCATTCTTGGACGTGTATAAACAATCGCCCGGCCTCGCAGGGGTTCTGAGATATTACTGGGAGATTGTCAAGCACAAGGCAACAGGCCTCTACTCGTAAGTTGGACTTTCTTCAGGGCGGGACCAGGCCTGGGTCATGAGGGGAGAAGTAGAAGAAGAACAAGGACAACACATTCGAGGTTGAAATTGAAAAGCGTACATGACTAACATGAACCCTTAGACGATACTACTACCGCGATTGCATCCAGAAGTCCGGCTGGACAAAATATCTACCCGTCGAACCCTTCAATAACACACAATACAAAGTCCTGGCCAAGAGATACTACCAGCACATCTACAGAAGCTTCGCCTCGTACGTCTCTCGATAATGTCCATATGACATACTTTGCAAACACACTAACTAACACGAACAAACCAACAGAGGCAACATAACGCCCCTCAAGCAAGTATGCCTACCACCCCTCGTAAAGAAACTCAAGCAACGAATCGCCGCCCGCGGCCAAATGACCCTGGAATGGAACCTGCACGAGTTCAAATCCGCGCGCGTAATGAGCCACCGCGCCTCGCCCTTAGGCGAGCAAACACCAGACACAGCGTACAGACAAGTCGTTGTACGCCTCGTATCCGTTCAATCCGTCGAACGGTCTACGCCGACATTACCCAAATTTTCCAAGTCTTCCATACGTGCTGCAGCTCGGCTACCCTGGGTCCCAGATGCCGCGCGCCAACGAGCGGAAAAGGCACGTCAACAGAGGCAAAAATCCGAGCATGTAGGGGAGATGGAGAAGCCGGTCGCTAAGAGCGACGAGCCGTTCATCGATAATGGGGTCAAGAAGACTGTAGTCGAGTATCTAGTGTTGCAGAAGAGGGTTATCAAGGGTACGGAGGAGGACTGGAAAGTCTGGGGCTTCACCGAGGCGTCCACGCCGAGTGTGCTTGCGAGAGAAGAGCTGTATTGGTCGCAGATGTTGAACGTACAGGCTGGTGGTGCTGTGTAGTGTTGGTAGCTGGGGGGATGAACACTTTGTAACCATATTTGTACATGTGATGGACATTATGAGGGCATGTAATTGTGCCCTAGAAACTTCAGACGTAGCCATGTATGACCTGAAAACTTAGCTCTGAAGCTGCAGATATGCGCTTTACTCTGAATCAGACATCACGTGGAGCATGCTACATGAAAAAAAGTGGACTTTGTAGATGAAGATAGTCATGTCATTTGAGCTCGTGCCAGTAGCAATAACGATAATCCAGGTACGCGCATTAATTCGGCGCCCAGCATTCCACTGCCGCATATGCTCGAATCAACCTCGTACTCCGCCCCTCTCTTCATGCTGGTGTAGAGGCGTATGACGCAAGCTTACAAAAAGCTGTGCCGCTTTAGCCGTGCCACAGATGAAGGAAGCTGGCATATTGAGGAGGCACAAGGTAGTAGTCATGGACGACTAGAAACCGTGGACCTGATTTCTGATTAGTCTAAGGCTCGGTGCTAAATCGTGCTGGGCTGTGACTCACCTTGATCGTCTTCGCATCAAGACCAAGTCCCTCCTTCTTGTCGGTCAAGAAGTCCTGGACGTCTTTGCGCTGATCGCCCTGGAGTTGGACGACTTCGCCCATCTCGGCGTCGCTCACAATGGTGCCATTGCAGGCAAACTTCTTTTTGATCACCTTGAGGATCTTCTTCTGGTCAAATTTCTTGGGGAGACCTTGGACAGTCGTCAAGGTCTTGCGGCCATTGCGCTCTAATGTTGTGTTAGCCTGATGCGGCTAAAGAATAGCGTATGGCAGATGCGGGCCGTCATGGGCAGGAGTGAGGTGTGCGAATGGGTTGGGTGCGTGGTGAGGACTTTGCATCAGTGGGCACGGGCGGTGAGGGACGTACGTTGGATACGAATATGAATGTAGTCCTGCTGAGTCTGCTTGACCTGGCCGGTATCTTCATCCGCTTCCGCGAACGGGTCTATGGATATCTTGTCAGTGGTTGCCTTGCATGCGCCTCGAGGGTCACGACTTACCGAAGGTCTTGAGGTTCTCGATGGACATACGACAGTCGGTGAGCGCGCGTGTAGGTGGGGGGTTGTTGGGTATGGATGCTCTGGGCAACAGGCGGCTGACTTGGTTGGGCTGGGAGTGGAGTTGGGGTGGTTTGGGGGTGGTGACAAGTCGGGAGGGTGCAAGTGAGAGTTCCAAGGTTTGTAGCGTCGAGCAGGCTGAGAGAAAGAGGTGGGGAATGCGGCGGGAGAGGAAGGCGAGCCCCGCCGTGGTCTGTGCGCGCCAAAAGGGTGATGCTTGCCGTTCAGGGCTGATCGGTACCGCATGCGAGCTGGAGGTGCGAATGAGACAAGACGAGGGTGGCATGGGACACATGGGGCGTGCAAGTGAGATAGGTATATTACGAGCTAGTTGACATGTATTGTCGCTTGCTCGGTGAGGACGTCGAATTATACTATTACACGGTACCGTTGCTACCTGAGTACCGGCTACGCGCCAACCTCTCCTACGGCGACCTACGACGGCGGCGCAGCAGCAAACGCCTCCGTGCCAGATGCTTGGCCCGGCCTGATAGGTGGTGGGGGGAGGAATATGGACGAGTAGGTCTGTGGTACAGCATCAACACGGGATCCGTCGGAGCCAGGGGCCGAAAACTTACAACGAGGAGCGACATGGCTGTGATTTGGTTAGCTGTGGGAGCACGTACAATAGGAGTCGGCACACACCAGACATGCCAACCTGGAAGTAGGCGGGCGTAGTCGACGTCTTCTTCTGCTCGGGGGTCTCAGCAAGCCACGACTGGATAGCGAATACTACAGCAACCCTGCATCGAGTCAATTGGGGAACGTGGCACAAGACGGGGAAGCCTACCAGCCGATCATCCTGTGCAGCACGCGTGATGTCAGTCATGGGTTTTGCACGCATCTAGGTGTCGCCTACTTGTTCCGCGTGAAGATCTGGGAGACGATATCAGCGGTGCAACATGGGATCGAGAGAGCAGCACTTACAGCAGCCATGGGCAGTGTGCTCGAGAGCGTGCTCGACATGTCGTTGTCATCCTTGCCCTTCTCTGGCTCGGCATAGGGCACGACTGCAGGAGGAGGTGCGTTAGACACGTGATCAATGGCGTTGGGATGGACGGATCGAGCCGTTGAACCCCTATGGGGGCGCGGTGCGGCATCACGTACTCAGGTCGGCGCGGCGCATGTCTTTTCTGGAGGCCATCGTGGAGCTGGCGGTCAGGTGTAGGGCAGGTGTAGGGCAGGTGTGTGGGCGGGTGGAGATGGGTGGTGGAGGATAGGGTGCAGCACTCGGACTGGGCGGCGTGAGCGGCGGCTGTCTGTCTTCCAAGGTTGCTGGGCCGGCATGGCGCTGGCCCCCGTCGTAGTGCGTCGTAGTGTGGATCCCTGCTCGCTCTATCGTATTACCGGGTGATCGACTCCGCTGTTCGCAATCCAAGATAACCTCAGACATCACGTCAACCGTCGCTCCCTCGACACGCCTCACTCCGCCCATCAGCCCCATCCAAGCCGCACCGCCGTCGCTCTTTTGCTGCCCGCCTGTGTTGCTCGCACATGCCGCCGCCCCAAGCACGCGGCTCCTGACCTCGCAGCCCTCGTCGCTCGCTCCCTTGGCCCACCCACTGCATGCGCCTGATACAACGATGAAGCCGCTGAGTGTGCGATGACTTCTCGACCTGGCCCGGGGATTCACGAATCTCTACAGAATCGTGGCAGCGCCCTGCCTCCTCGGTCCCAGGTGCAGCGCCGGCCCTCGAAGCCCGCCCACAACCTCCTTCACCCGGACTGCATCGATCCGGCCCTAGAGGACGACCGTCCGCCTGCTCACGCTGCCCTCCACGATGCCGCGAGGCTGCCCCCGCGAGGCCGCCCGCCGCTCTTCTACACCACCATCCCGACCCACGGCACCGACCTGCCCCTGCACTCCTTTCCCTACCAGCCGGCCGCCAACCTGCCCCAGCCCCCACGCCCGGGCTCCCTGCACCTGAGAGACGCTTCGCACCAGCGTCGCATACTGCCCGGCGGCACCGGAGTCAAAGATGCGCCCAAACCCGGTGGGCCCGAAGTCGTCGTTCCACCCGTCCATTTTCCCGGTGGGAAGGCTGCCGATCTGTTTCCATGGACCGGCAACAACCCCGAGGACAACCTGTCCGAGCCGCTAGTCAAGGCAGGCGTCAGCAACAAGCCCCAGATCATGAACGAGTCCAACACCGCACGCCCCTCGCTCATCAACAACCTCAAGAACAAGTCGGGCCTCAGCACCCTCTCGACCCTGTTCGTCGCCGTGCTGGAGAAGCGACAGCAGACAGGCCGCCTCCAAACTCCAAACACCTTCAAGCCCCCGCCGCGATTGACCCTGCGAGACTCGACCCGCGAGCAGTGGCTGCACGACTTGGCCAACCCAACCATTGGCCTTCGCCGCCTCAGCCGCACCATACCCCACGGCCTCACTGGCAAAGTGCTGCTGGAACAATGTCTGAACAAGAACATTCCTCTGCCGAGAGCCCTGTGGCTGGCCAAGTGCGTGGGTATCAACGAGTTGCGTGCGCACAAAAGAAAGGGCCAGGCCGGTACCGTGACATGGGGCAGAGGCTGGACCAGTTCTGTCGAGCAATTCATAGACGGCGTCATCAGCAGCATTGGCCAGGGTGATTGGAAACCCCGCATCACCTACGCCCTCCAGCTTGCGACCCATCTCTACAAAGAGCACCTGCTCGACGACGACCACTTTCTCGATTGGATAGTCAATGGCCTCGACACCTGTCCCTCAGAACGCCTATTTATCTGGTTGCTGGTCGTTTCCATATCACACTATTGGACCGCTGTAACCTGCTGTCGACGCCGCGGCAAGCGTCTCGCCGAGTCATTGCTCACCCAGCTCGACAAGATCTATCGACTTGAGGATCTGCGACCTTATATCGCCGTTTTGCAATACCTTGAAAACACCGTTATACGCTTGCTCGCCACACGACCTGCTTGCCTGCTGCTTCCGACTGCGTGGGCCAGATATTGTCCCCTCTTGCGGAACCTCGCTGAGAGGAAAAATCATGCACATGTCATGCAAGCGATCCGGAGGCTCGAGCTGAGGAACACTAGGCTCCTGCGATCGCCAAAGAAAATTACTTCGGCCTCACAGACACCCGCTGGCCGCGTCTATCGGGTACTGGATTCGGTAGACTACAGCAAGCCAGTGCGTATTGAGGACTTGTCCTGTGACTGTATGGAGATAATCGCCGACGCTCCACGCTTGATCGGTGTTCTCCTCCAGTGGGCATGTACTTGTTACCGAGCAGGAGCACACAGGATCTATCTGGCGACGCGATTACTCCGTAGATGGAACCATCTTGGTGCGGACGTGTATGACGGCATAGTTTCGCACCTCCGTGACATGACGTGGGTTGCTACTGGCGATTCAGATATACTTTTCAAAATCGTTGCTGAACTGGTCCGTTCAAAGACTTTCGCTACTGGGCGCTATCTCCAGTGGCTTATTGCGACGGGGTCTACAGGTCACAATACAGATCTGTCTTCAGTAAGTCATACTTCACGAGTTCAATCTGTTGGTTCTAACTATTCGATAGCCGCAGTCCTGGCCGCTGCGTTTGATCACCGAGATACCCCTCAGTGGGCTACCGGACCAAATCCGTACATTGCGGAGCACACTCCTCCGTGGAACCTTGCACTCCGCCGAATTGGAACAACGAGCTCTTGGCTACGCTGAGCACATGATATCTCAAACCTTACCTACCTTGTTTGGCATCTACAGCACCACAGCTAAGCTGAACGACGAAGAGCTAGATAAGCTCAGTTCGACGATCAAACTGGAACTGGGTATTTGGCTACGTCGACACGTCGCTCAGTATGCCGAGGTTAGCGCGCAGTAAGTATTGTCGTAAATTAACCATGGCTGCGCTTACATTACACAGCATACCCACAAAGGACTCCTCAGTCGAAGAAACCGCCGCGGTCTCCCTTCTAACGCCCTGGGACTTCCACACTGTAAGATCGTACCTTGAGCGATTCGGAGACCTTGCTATCCTTGCGGACATTGTCGGCGTCGCAACTACATCCTTGGATTCCAGTGTTCTTGCCTCTGCTGCGGACACGATCAATTACCACACCAGAGCCTTTCGTGCAATAGGTGCCTTTGACCCACTGTTTGCTAGAATTGCGACAAGATATGCCGCCATACGAACTATCCGACTCCCGGATCGCGAATTACTGCTTAGTCTTGCCAGTCTAGCTCGTACAGCACAAGCTGATGGCCAACTCCCTCAGCTCCTCAACTATGATTTGAGCCAACTGAACCAAAGAAACTCACTTGTAGCCTGTTCACCAGCCTCCGACAATATGGGTGAGGTCATGCAAACAGGATCGTCCTCCGATGACGAAATTGAACGCATACTTTCGAGCGGTACCAGCATGGATCAACAGATGATGGGTCGAGTACTGAGGAAGATCGTCAGCAACCTAGAGGAACATCTAGCCAAGGGCTCTTTCCACTTGAACAACCACCATGCATGGTTCCATCGGCTGCGCTGCTTCGATGAGCCGACCTTCGACATGGTCGTGAATGAATGGCTGGTTTTGAGCTTAATGGCTCAAAGGACTGACACCCTGCGAGTAGCCTTGCCTACACTTGTTGGTTCAGGCTGTATTCCTTTGGCGTCCTTCCTTGATTCCCTCAGAACTTGCATCGCAAAATTCAAGACCAATCCTTCTGAAGGTGGCCTCCAAACTGCTCTCAAAGGCATGATGATTACTCTGCCGTCTGACGCTCTAGTTCAGTCTTGTTCGCCGCAAGATGCATATCGATACCGCTTGGAGCAGCGAAAGCTTTGCTTGGAAACTGAAGGCCGCTTTACGCAATGTGTTAGTGAGGTGATTAGGCTTGCTTCAGCCATTACTTCTCAGAGGGCTCAGGAACAACTCTCAGAGTTCCTACGCAGTAAGCCCATGCTGCATGTTCTGAAAAATCGCATTGCTGGCGATCCAGGATGCTTGTCAAAGTTGAATAAGGATGCTTCGAGTCATTTGCTCAAGCCGTCGTTGGACAGCCTACTTGACCCCAAAGGCCACTTACGGCTGCCCGACAAGAGCCCTGAACAGCAGGTACTTGCAGTCTTTGCACTTACTAGCGAGTTGTCCTTACCAATCTGCCAAGCGGCTATCGAGCAGCTGTTCTCATCTAGTGCAGCCGCGCTGGGAGGCACCGGTGAGGTACTTTCTGCTTCTCTTTTGAGTGCCATCAAGAAAGCAGTGGAAGAGGATCAACCTTCAGGACTAGGGCTACTTGCGAGCTTGGACGTTGCTCTCACCGACCAGATACGACAGCACGCTGAACGCGAGATCTTGAATGCCTCTAGCTTCTTGTGTATGACATCCACCGTCAAAGCAGATGAACCAGAGAAGGTCTCGCCCGCAGTGGTACAGAAATATCTCACAGTTATCGATCTGACTTCCAATAAGCGTGCGGCATCCACGGAACAGATTGCGCTTCTCCACGCCTTGGTCGAGAGGTTTAAAGGCATAAGTCAAGCTCTTGAAGACAACAGACTCTCTGTTCCAGAGTTGTATGCTTGGTTGAACGCCCTACTTCGTCTGGTAGTATATCATGCACCGGACATGTTGGCTGAGGCTACACATCCACATCAGACCGCTTTGATGAGTGCCATGGCTGCCTTGCTCATGCATCCATCTTTGGAACTATATCCTACGATTACCGAACATGTCTTTGATGTCACGGTATTCTTGTCCGATTACATAACGGATGACGTTCGGTTCCACGTTACTCGATTGGAAGGAGCAAGGCTTGCAAGCGATGCGCGTTGTGTCTTCATTCTGGGAGTAACAGCTCCCGTCGACGGTTGGCTTGTCCTGGCCAAACCCGTTAACACCCCTCTGGTCCAGGCGTCGTCGCAACCACCGACACCAACACCCCTTCAGAATCAGCCATCACCGTACCAGAGCCCGCATGTACCTGCTAGTGGCTCTGCAACACCGCAACAACGCTATTTCCTACAACAACAGCAACAGCAACAGCAACAGCAACAGCAACAGCAACAACAACAACAGCAGCAAAGACAGCAGCAAATGCAAGCGGCACAACAAGCACAACAGATACGTGCGCAGCAGCAGTATCACCAGCATCCGCAGAACAAGATGCTGCCCGCACAACTCCAACGAACCCCGTCAGGCCAGGCCTCGCCCTCTCCACTGCAGCAAATGTCGCAAATACAACAGATGCAGCAAATGCAACAGCGCGCCATGCAGCCATCGCCCGTCTACTCGCAGCGTCCTACTCCTGCAGCGGGTCAGGGCCAATCTAGTAGCCAGGGCCAGATGAGCGCGCAGGCGCCGGGCAAGCTGCAGATAAGGCAAGACCGGGAGATACGCCACTATGCTTTTGTACAGCCTAGGTGGGAGATTCTAGCCGAATCTTCTGGCAACCCGAATGGAAATGAGACTGCAATCAACTTGAGTCTCTTTGGCGCGCGAAAGGTGTAAGTACATAAGCATCATGCTACTTTTATTCTATATTCATGTCCCTTAATGGGCCAGGACACCTTCGTTTCCTTCATCTCCTTTTCTCACTTTCGCTTTTTGTCTCTTACGTTGTTGGACTTTACGCTACTTTCACCTTTCTGTTCTAGAGCATGAAGCGAGGCGTTTTCCCGGGCTACTGCTATGATCTGCTCATGACATTGCATTACACCGGAGTTTCTTGCGGGACGGTTTTCATCTGCATAAAGTGTTAAGGGACTACATAGGGTATTATTTGGCCTTTTGCATAGCTGTGGCAGCCATACAGCAGGGCGTTGAGGTTGGAAAGACTTGAAGCATTGATGTTTTTTTCTTCTTGCATGGTACACAACACATACTGATTGGGTTCAAATATTTGATACATCTGATTGTACCAATACATGATGCTTTCACGTAAATTAGTATGCTAACAATCCTATCTGCTTTTAAACAAACATTTGCATGCCATAACAAAAACACACAAGGTATGGATCTTGGGTATTAACAAGTGAACAAGTCACAAACGCAGTCTTGTCCAGACTAGACGTTCTCCCTTGAGTTCAAAGCGAATCCGATAACCACCAAATCTATGTAGCATGTGTGGTAAGGTGGTTCAAGGGCCCTGTCTCGACTGTTGCTGGACACAGTCAAGACAGCATGGCAACGCCGAACCAACGTTGCTTTGTGGCGACCACGTCGTTTCTGATGCAGCGCAGAAAGCAGGATGCGTACGTAGCGTGCGGACGTTGCCAGATGCTCAGCCGAACAATATCAGGTAGTTGGATAACTCATATCATCACCGTGCATCGTCAAGTCTCGTTCTCAGTGTTCGGGCTGGAAGAGGGTTCAGCTTTGAGCTGGGCTGCTGCCTCGGGAGTCAAAACATCTGATCCTTTCCTCTTCAGCGTAGCGAGCTCTTTCCTCAGTGCATCCATCTCTTGGTCCTTTCGGATGATCAAGTCGTCCCGCTCCGATACCTCCTGTTTCAGCTGCTTGATGTATTCGATGGCGCTTTCAACCTTTGCTGCTTTGGAATTGTTGGAGTTTTGGGCGTTCGTCTCGGGGCTTTTGGCGTCTGGAATAGCACCAAGCTGTGGTGAGGGGAGAAGAGCCTGCATTTCTTGGAGGGCCATATTTATGCGATTCCGGCGGCCCTGCTCGGCGATCTTGTGAGATGTGCGTTTTGAAGTGAGGTTAGTGGAAAGTGATGTGGGGTAGACGACTCCGGGGACGGTAGTGCCATCAAGTATGTTCTGGTAGTTTGATTTGGATGCTAGGAGAAGGGCGTGGGTGTTGTCGGTTACCCCTGCTGCAAGTTAGATTTGACCACAAGTCAGATACTAAGGGGTACTTACCACTTCCGCCGTCAGGTAGTAAGGGTTTTATGCTTGGTGAGATCTTGGGCCTCAGAGCAGGGCTGACAAGACTCGAGCTAACGCTGTTTCTCTTCTTGGGATTGCGCGCCAGTTTTGGGTCTTTCTTGCCATTGGTTATGGAGAAGGCTGGACTTGTCGGGGTAGACATGGCGTCCAGCATCGGACTAGGTCTGGCTGACATGGAGGCGCCTGGCGTGCTCAGAGGATTCAACTTGGGTGTCTTCCGCGCAGACATACGAGACGTGTCACCATCCCCATTCCGGATTGCTGTATCGATCCTGGATAGCCCTGGTCGGTCTAGTGATGCTTCTGGTAGGGTGAGATCTTCCAGCATTGGTGGTACTTCTTGGGAGCCACTGACATCGGGCGAGGGTTGTATCCGCATGAGAGATGCAGGAGTGGCCGGAGTGCCGTTCTGGCTGCTGCGCTGGGCCATCATGGCAGGGGAAGCCGTTGAAGAAGTAGGCTTCGGCGGCGGTCGCATCTCCGACAGCATAGGCTCAGGAGATATAGAATCGGTTTCTGAGCTTTCACGAGTCCTTGGGACATCCAGACCGTTGGTAGACGGGCGTGTCAATCGCGCATCCTGCATGAGTTCGGTCACCTCCTTGGGTGGAATGAGGGAGGACACGGTTGCTTTCCGCCTGTTAGGCTTAACAATAGGAGACTGGCGTATGCGGCCATTGCCGTTTGTGCGCGGCGCAGTCCTTTTGTTGGTACTCCGTAGACTCCTGCGTCCTTGTTCCTGTGGCACCAGGGCAGGTTCTCCCAGCATATCCATATCCACATCGATGGGCGAGTGGCCTGTCGAGCTCCCGGATGTTGTGTGCTGGGACTGGTGGTGCGCATGCTGTTGGCTCTGGGCATTCAAGGCAGGAGATGTGAGAGGGCTGAAGTAGGCCCCGGGCATTGTGAAGTCGGGAATCTGGAAGCGCGCATCGTGGGGCGTCACTGCAGGCGAAACTAGTGGGGTAAATGTCTATATGGGTCAGTGGGATTCTGTGGTAGTGTCCGAGTGCAACATACCGCATCGTCCTTGCGCATATGGTATCTCTGGTCGAACAGCGACTGGTGGTGGTCTGATTGTTGGAGATAGCGATGGGGGTCGCCATGCATCTCTATGCTGTTTGGCGTGGGCGGAACACCCTGGTGTGGGCGGTAGATGTGGTCCTGGGCCTGGGTGAAAGACGGGGTGCCAGCCTGGCTGTACTGGGCCATGCCATAGTCGAAGAAAGAGCTGGCTGGCTGGGACAAGCCATGGCCAGGCAGATTCTGGGCCTGCTGTCTGGCGTTGGGGCCATGTTGGTGGTCGTGGGGAAGTTGCGGGGGAAACTGGCCCTGGAGATGGTGGACATTGAGCGACTCGGTCAGATCGGCGAGTTGGTTCCCAGTAGAGGCGGGTCCTTGGTGATTGTAGCCATCAATGTTGAAGTGCAGGTCAAGGTTGTCGAAGTCGATGAATTCAGCGCCGGCAAAGTCTTCAGCGGGCGGGTCCATCTGGAAGTGCTCGGCAGCACTCCACGACTGCGCAGTCGAGCTGTTCATATCGTCGGCGCGGGACCCTGGGCGGAGGGGAGAGAAAATTGGCGTTGCGAAGATGGGCGGGTGGGGCAGCGCGGGATTGGGACCGGGTTGCTGCGTCTGCTTCGCATGTGCGTCGGCTCAGATTCGCGTTTGGCGAGGGTGCAGCGGGCTGCGACTCTGGCGGCGCTCTCTCCAGCGGATACTGAAGAGAGTGTCGTCGGGGTCAGGACGAGGCACTGCACGAGAAGAGGCCGGGTGGTAGGCCCCCACGGTGATTTGATAAGACTGGGGGCAGTTCGCCCGCGTACGTCGAATGCAGCGCGGGTTATAGCCCACTGCGGCTTGCAAAACCTGGCCTCGCGTCCTCAGCCTATTATCAGGTGGCGTGCCAGCACCCGGCGACTAGCCCACATGACGTTCAGCCTTCACCCGCTCCTCGAGTTGGGTGCATGGTCTTGACCAGAGGCTCACAGATGACTTGACTCGCGCGCGTGGGATGCATACTACACAAACAAGAGAACAGCGGCTGCGCAATGCCCTCGTCATTCACTTGATCCGACTGCTGGGCCGCGGTTCAGGGTCTGCGAAGCTGAGCGATGCATTACAAGACTAGTCGGCCAATAGTGCGGTCCCGCACTCCACCGGGGGAGGCATAGGCGAGGACAGCTGCCCTTTGCATTCGTTCCTTGATGACTTGCGTCCCATGCCCGTGCATACAAAGTACTGTACTTGGCTTGGACATGGCGGCGCCAGCCAGCTGGTCGAGCGAACGGCAGACTCGGGCTGCCTCGTCCTGCAGCTGCACGTGAAGGCGTCTGGTTGGGCGAAGCCATGTTTGTTTTACGGCAGGCTGATTGGGCTGTAGCGCGACTGACTACGGTTGTTTGCCGGTGGAGCGCGCCATGTCGATGCGCCTTGTTAATCTCGTTTGCCCTAGCATGTAGCCACCTACCCCTTCCAGCAAGTTCCCGCCTGTCCAGATGGCCTCGTTCCTACGGCGACATGTCGAGGCTATGGCAAGCACTTGTCACGCGTGGCAATGTCAAAGACGACGACACTGAATTATGAGAGTGCTTTTGTCTCGTGATTGTAGAACCTAAAAAGCCGCCGTGACCGACCAAAAGAAAATGCAGAAATCCCCGCTGCGCTGCAAACATCAACTGCAGCGAGCTCCGCATCCGAGTAATTTACACATTGCTGAAAAGTACATGGCCCGTCTGGTGGCCTCGCTCCCAGGACGACTGCGCGAGACTGGGCCACTCCGGGTCCTTGGGTATTAATCAACTTCCTCCTAAAGGGTAAAAGAAAACAGGCTCTGCCGTAAAAGGGCCCCGCAGAACGCCGGTAAAGGACATGACCACCTGCATCTTCTTCGTCGTTTACATTACGATGCAGCAGCCGTTGCTCTGTTGTGGCGCGTAGGGGTCGTCGCGCTTGTCAATCTGCGCATACGTTAGGAAAGTGAGCGGGGCAGCTTGCGCGCGAGTACTGACCGTTCCCCATCGTGACGGGACCATCCAGTCCTTTGGTTCTTTATCCGTGAATGCAATGAGACTATAGGTGCCTGTTAGCCGTCTTGTTCGTCGAGGCACGGCGACTTGGTCCTAAACCTACTCTAACGCGGCTTCCGATACGGGTATCCTGCGGCGCTCGAGGTCCTCGCGCAGGCGCTGGTTGAGTTCGGTCAGACGTCGCAGCTTGAGCTCGGCCATGCTCTGCTTCTTGCTCTTGCCGTCGCCGCCCGTCCGTATCTCGTAGGGTGCTTGAGCCATCATGACGGGCATGGTGCGCGTGTGAGTATTATGGGGGTGCGAGGGGCGTTGGGGTTGATGGTATTATGGGGGTGCGTCGTGGTGCGACGTGACTTGTGCGTGTCGGGCGTGCGGCGTGGATAGGGTGAGCTGGGTGAAGGGAGAGTAAGGAGCGAAGGACGGCCAGCCGGGTGAGCCTGCCGCCGAGTATCAGCGCGAGAGCAAGGCTGCTGCGAGGGCGTTGACGACGAGTTGCTGAGATGGGCGACAGGTGAAGCACGGGAACCAGGAGAGGTGGTTGGAAGATGAGGGCCCTCCCCTTGATGGGTCTGTTCGTCGGGCCCCAACGCTTGCGGTATAGCGCCATATTGGGTTTAACGAGCGCTTTGTCCTCGCCCGCCGCCGCAGCCAATCTCTCGCCATCGTGTCGTCGACGCAAGAGGAATCCCGTGACTCAAGGTGCGCGTTCCATGGGACAGAGTGACTGCCTGCGACCGCATCATAGCCGTGATTCACTCAGACACCCAAGCGCGCCTCCGACGTCTTGCAGCCGCGTGCATCTGCGGGGAGTCGGGCGCGAACCGACCGGCGCCTGGGAATACCTCGCCCGCTCGCTTACTAAGGCCTACCACAACCATTTTGCAGGCCTGACTCCGTCGCCGTGTGAGACCCGCCCACCCATATCTCAACCCCAAGCCTTTCGCTGCGTCGCCTGCCTGCTATAAAGCCCATCCGACTCGTGCAGTTGGATCCGCGACCTCAACTTGCCCAGCATGGCGCCTCCACCGCACTCCAAGCCGGAGAACACACTGTGCGCCCCGCCTCGAACAAGCCCTCTAGGCCGCACCACCACTGACACGCTCCAGGAAACGTGCCCAAGAACTCATCGGAGTCGAGCAGCAACAGGCTGCCCTCCAGCTACTCCACGAACATGTCACCTCGAAGCGCACCCGCAACAGCCCCATTGCCTCGCTCGAGCCTGTCATGATCCTCTTTGTCGAGCTCTGTGTCGACCTGCGCAAGGGCAAGCTGGCCAAAGACGGTCTCTACCAGTACAAGAACACCGCCCAGAACACCAACGTTGGCACCATCGAGGTAGGACACCCGACCCAGAAATTACCGTCGCCTGGCACTAACCCGCCATAGACTGTCTTCAAGCGCTTCATCGAACTCGCCGAGCAAAAGGTTACCGAGGCCCAGGCCAAGGCAGACGAGGTTCAGTCCTCGCTCGAACCCTCTGACGACAAGAATGTCGACGATCTAGAGGCCACCGAGACTCCCGAGTCGATCCTCCTCTCCACCGTCTCCGGAGAGCAATCGCGCGACCGCACCGACCGTGCCATTGTAACACCATGGCTCAAGTTCCTGTGGGAGACCTACCGAACCGTTCTGGACATCTTCAAAAACAACGCCCGTCTCGAGCTCATGTACCAGTCGACCGCCCACCAGGCCTTCCAGTTCTGCTCCAAGTACGCCCGCAAGACCGAGTTCCGTCGTCTCTGTGAGCTGCTCCGCAACCATTTGCAGAATGCCGCCAAGTTCTCCTCCCAGATGCACGCCATCAACCTGTCTGATCCGGACACCCTACAGCGCCACCTAGACACCCGTTTCCAGCAGCTGAACGTAGCCGTTGAGCTTGAGCTGTGGCAGGAGGCTTTCCGCAGCGTCGAGGACATCCACACACTGCTCAGCTTGAGCAAGCGCCCAGCCAAGAACATCATGATGGCCAACTACTTCGAGAAGCTCACCCGCATCTTCTTGGTCAGCGAGAACTACCTTTTCCACGCTGCCGCTTACAGCCGATACTACAACCTCCTTCGCCAGTCCGCTGCGGCTGTTGCATCTGGCCAGAGCCCCAAGAAGGACAATCCTGCTGTAACGGAAGCCGACATGACCAAGGCTGCTTCATTTGTCCTCCTCTCTGCTCTCGCTATCCCTGTCATCAGCACTTCCCGCTCCCGCGGTGCTCTCGTTGATGTTGACGAGGCGAGGAAGAACAAGAACTCGCGCCTCACCAACTTACTCGGCATGTCTCAGGCTCCCACCCGTGCTATTCTCTTCAAGGACGCTCTCAGCAAAGGTCTGCTCAAGCGCGCCCGCCCTGAAATTCGCGATCTTTACAACATCCTCGAGGTCGATTTTCATCCCCTCTCCATTTGCAAGAAAATCTCCCCAATTTTGTCGCAGATTGGTGCTGATGAGGGTATGGAGAAGTACGTCGGCCCGCTCCAGCAGGTCATCCTTACCCGCCTGTTCCAGCAACTGTCCCAAGTCTACGACTCCGTTGAGATCAAGTTCGTGCTTGGCCTCGCCCAGTTCCCCGAGCCATTCCACGTCAGCGCTGGTACCATTGAGAAGTTCATCATGAACGGATGCAAGAAGGGTGACCTTGCCATCCGCACCGACCATGCCACTGGTGTGCTCACCTTCGATTCTGATGTCTTCTCCTCTGCTAAGGCTATGCACCCCGGTTCAGGTGCTGGATCAGCCGAAACTGAGTCTCGCTCTGTACAGCGTCTGCAAAGCACCCCAGCTGAGATTGTCCGATCTCAGCTCACTCGTCTCGCTAAATCACTCTTTGTCACTTGCCAATATGTCGATCCTTCGTTCAACTCGGAACGGCAACGCAACAAGGAAGCCGCTCTTGCACGAGCCAAGGAAGGCGCCGAGAAGGAGCACCAAGAGATACTCACCCGCCGCGACATCATCTCCCAAAAGAAGGAGGCTGCGCTCAAGGCTCAACAGGCCAAGGAGAATGAAGAGCAGACCAAGAGGCTTATTCGCCAACAGCAGATCAAGGATGAGGAAGCTCGACGCCTGGCCGAAGAGCAGAAGCAACGTGCTGAACAGCGCATCAAGGCTGAACAGAAGCGCATCCAACGTGAGGAGATGGAGAAGCAAATCAAAGAGCTCAAAGCGACTACCAAGGTCGACATCGAGCTTCCTGAAGATCTTGATGATCTCGATTCCCAGAGAATCCGCTTCTTGAAGCTTCAAGCTCTCGAGAGGGAGAAGAGCCAGCTCGGCGAGCAACTCCGTATTGCCGGCAAGCGTATCGATCATTTGGAGCGAGCCTACCGCAAGGAAGAGATTAAGCATCTCAAGACTGACTACGAGAAGCAGCAGGAAGAAGATCTTGCAGCATACGAGAAGGCCAAGGCTGAGGAACTGAAGGAGTCAGAAGAGAGGCACAAGGCGGACGTCGAACTCAAGCATCGTCTGTCAAGGCTGGTTTCCCCATACCAGACCTTCGTCAAGACCGTCAAGGAACAACGCAAGGCTGAATTCGAGAAGCGACAGAAGATTGCACAAAAGGAGCTCGAGAGCAAGAAGGCCGCACGTGTCAAGGAGGTCAAGGAGCGTATCGCTAGGGAGAAGAAGGAACGCGAGGAGGCCGAACGTCGCCAGCGAGAGGAGGAAGAGCGCGAGCGGGAGGAAGCCGAGGCCAAGGCCAAAGCTGACGAGGAGAAGCGTGCGAGATTGGCAGAGATCAAGGCACAGAGGGAGGAAGAGCGAGCGTCAGTAGTACCCTTGGATCTCCGCAACCATACACTAACAATTTGCAGTGCCGCTATGGAGCAAGCCCGTCTTCAAGCTCAGCGCGAGGAAGAGGCCATGGCCAAGCGGAAAGCTGGTGCCGGTGCCGCCCGTGCTGTTCCGGACCGAACCTTCTCTCGTGAGCCAGCTGCGGAGTCTTCTTCGGCTTCTGGCCCACCAAAGATTGCCCTTCCTGGCGGCAAGCCCAGCTGGCGAGAGCGTGAGGCCATGAAAGCGGCGGGACAAGCTCCTCCCCCTGCCAGCTCATCTCCAGCACCCGCACCGGCAGCTGCTTCACCAACTCCTGAGACCGAAGCCCCCAAGAGGGGCGGGTACGTCCCACCGGCACTCCGCCAAGGAGGCGCTCCTGGAGGTGGATGGCGCGAGCGTGAGGCTAGCGGCAGCGGTCGCGCGCCTCCTGCCCGTGCCGAGCGTCCTGAGCGCACCGAGTCTCCTGTTACTGGTGGCCGATTTGAGGCTGCTCGCGGAGACCGATGGGGCTCGGACAGGAAGGCATTGCCTGCCAACGCCGGCGGCTATGTCGCCCCTGGTGCCCGCAGCAGTGCACCAGCTCGTGAAGGTGACGGCGAGCGTGAGTCTAGGCCTCCTGCGCAAGCACCGGCGGGTGGCAAGTACGTCCCTCGTCATTTGAGGGACAGGCAGTAGAGTACGACAGTAAAAGCAAGGCGTTCGTTTTCTTTCTACACTTCCTACGATTGACGACATGATCAGCGGCGGGTATAGGAAGGACATGATGGCGTAGGTGGGTTTGCGCTTCCTCTTAGAGCTGGGCGGTAAGGAACGTGCGCCTACGGTATGTAGTCTTCTTGATAAATGCAGTTTCCGATTGTTCAAGAGTTTGAGTCCGCGTCTTACTTGTTCATGATATGTGTGTTAAATGGTTGTGCCCTCAGCAAGATATGTCCCTATTCGAGGGGTGCCGTACCTCTAGACATTGGCTTGAATCCCGCGTATCAACCTCAGCAATGGCACTAGTCATCCACGTGTGTCCATTTGCAATCATCTCTACCCGGCATTGATCGATTCAGTCTCAAGAACGTCCCTACACACAAGAAAGACGGGCACCATATTTACGCCATCCACAGAAAATAACACACACTTCCCCAATCTGCAAAAGCTCCTCGATCGCGGAAGGTCACATGACTTTATTCGAAATCGATGTATTCGATATCTGTACTTGCTTCTGCCAAAGAGCGGCAGAACATTCCGTCGAGGATGTGTAACGACATGGACTGAGGAAGCTAGAAGTGAATACAAAGTAGTGAACAAAGCCAATGCCTGTTTCTACAGTTAGCGCCCGCCGAGATGTGAATTCAGATGTATATATACTGTTATCACTATGAGGACTGAGAACATCATGACTCTCGCAGGCAACGCACAGAAACAGTTGGCATATTTGGGGCGGGGCGAAGATGCAGAACTAGTCAATCACCGACCTCCTTATATGCCGCAAGTCAACATACAAGCCACCTTAC